AATTGAAAATGGGAAAGAAGGTTGCAGCTCAGCTGTGGGGCTGAAAAGGAAATTGAAATGTATGCAATGTAGTGATTTACCATCACTTAAAAAAGAATCAGCACTGAGGGGGACTAAGCACAATGGGCACTGCCCTTTATCTTGTTCAGACGGGTAGCATGAACTTATTGGTATAGTAGGTTCCCACCAGTATGTTTGCCCAATATGGCCCATGTGTTTTATAGTAATACTTTAGTATTGGCTGTTTTTAATCAACTTCATAGTTAGTTTCCACTACTATGCACATGTTGCTTTTAGCAGCACTTTAATGAAAGACAGTGTATATAATGAGGTTTCCTTATAAGTGACTGTAAGGTAAGTTTTTTTCCCCAATGCTGATTTAGGGTGGGGGGGAACCTCATCTTATAGTTGAGTAAATATGACATTTATTTGTATTCATTGCTCTGAAATAGATCAATTATGACTTTTTGTAGACACAGGCTCTCATGTGGTAAGTAACAGTGCTTAACTCATGAAACCATATGCCCCTGGAGGGACATGGTGAGCTCCTGCAGGTGGTGGCAGCACTGTAAGCGGTGGGAGTGTGGTGGCGCCCAGTGGGGAGCTCCCACAGGCAGCTGCAGCACTGTTGGTGGTGGGGGGGGGGGGGTGGCGAGTGGTTGGGGAACACCTGCAGATGCCACCGGCAGTGTCAGTGACGGCCAGCAGCAATTGTGGACCCCCCGCAGGCACCGCTGGCAGTGTCGGCGGGGGGGGGAGGAGGTGAGCAGCGACCACCTGCACGTGCCATTGACAGTGTCAGTGGTGCCTTTTCGCAGGCGGTGCATCACCATGCTCAGTGGGTGCATGTGCACCCCCTACGCATCATCAATGGCTTAACTCACCAGTTGTGCATGTCGTTTCTAACAGCCAATAGAGAATTAGTTGAGGTGTTGTGTCTCTGCCACAGACACAATTAACATTCTAGGCATTGTTCAGGTAATCCCATTTCTTGATATTTACTTTACAGAAACTGACCCCTGTGCAAAGTCAGTTAGGGCATTATCTAACTATCTGTGAGAATTTCTGTGGCTTGCAGTTCAATCTTAGCACCTGCTGGTATCACGTGCAATCCATGTTTGAGCATACAACATGTGCTCTTCAGAGATGAACTGCAAAGTTCCATGGAGGTAATAAAGAACTTTCACAATTTAAGTCACCTAGCAACAGGCTTGTGATAACATAGAGGATGCTATGGGTCTGAAAGATCCATTGTACATGACTGGCCACTCTTTCTAATATCCAGGATGCAATGCCAATCAGTAGGTAAAGATTCTTTACATTGGTTAGTTTGAAGTAGTTGGCGATGCTTTGACAACATTCATTCAGCACTATGTTGAACTTTTTTGCACATGCAAACTTCTCCAATGCTGGACACACATTGTTCACTGACAAACAGCAAAAGGCCAGTATAGCTAACCTGAGTGTTAATGTACTGACTCCCCACAGAGAGTTAGCTAACTTCCAGATGATATTACATTGTAAGTTCACTTTTGCCTTGAACTTCTTGAAATGTACCATGTATGGCAAAAATCATATCAAGGTGAACTAGGTATGAGAAGTGGGCCACTCTTCAGTTATTTCATACTCAATGTTCTCACTTACATTCCTCAGGGGGAAGGCATAGTCTTAGTTGGGATCAGTTTACAGTTGGTTTTCCTTGTAGCATATTAATTAACTTGCTAAGTTTGTTATCAGGTTAAACACTTGCCTTGAGCTGTCACACAGAAGTTGTCTAAGTATATGACATTTTTGGTACTTTGGTGAATTGGCCGATTGTTAGCATATAGGTATTAAACAGCTTTGTGGGAGATCATTACGCTGTTGATGCCAGCAACTTTGTTTTTTATCTGATTCTAAAAAGAACCATTTGTTGTCAAGTGAAGTTCAAATGAGTTAACTGAGATGCATATCTTTATTCATCTGCAATAATTTGGTGAGGAACAGTTGACTGATAGTGTAGTATGCTGCCGAGAGGTCTACAAAATACAGCTCCTATGATCAAATCTTTTTTGAAACCATCTTCAATATGTTGTATAAAATTGAGCAGCTGGCTTATGCATGCTTTCTCTGTATGAAATCTTGCCTGCTCTTCAATTAGAATCTCATCACATGTTATTGCAATATGGTACACTATGAAGCTTTCAAAGAGCTTATGTGTATAGCAGAAAAGTGAGACGAGTCAAAAAATTCTTGTTCTCCAGTTCGGTCTGACATTATTGAAGCATACTTACCACCAGCATTTTTTAATCTTGTGAATATTAGTTGATATAATATCTGTATGATTAACTAGTTCCAATTTTCAGTCCAAAATATTTGAATTGTTTCTTCTGAATGACATCAATACTTGCTGTTTTATTTCAGTTAATTGATACCTATCTTAAGATGTGCCATTATGAATGGTTTGGTGGACCTGGGATTAGGATGACATTACCGGTAATGGTAAAAGACATGTTGGTTGTCTATTCTTTTCAAGATAAGATAGTGAAGCTCTTGGTTTGTTGCAGTGTTGTAATATTCCTTGCTTTCTTGAATCACTGCAAATGTGCATATTGCAGCCCATGTCTTCCTGCTATTAAATGTCATAAATGTTTTCAGACAGCATCTGTCAAGGTTTTTGGCATTCCACCATCAGGGAGGACATCAGTTCTTCTCCTAGAGCAGTGGTATCCTCCACAAAAAAGATATAAACTCAAATTCCTGATTGTGTTGTTCATGCAGGTCCACAATTTTTGGAGTCAGGCTGAGTATATATTTAATTCTACAGCCTTGAGGAATATTCATACAGCATTTGTGAACCAGGCATATTTAGTCAGAGGTTCCATCTGCTCAATTACTGCATCATAATCTTCTGCAAAGCCCTGCCAGTCCTCCTTTTTGAAGCTGAAATGGTGATAAAATGGCATCATTGTCAGGGCTACAACTGCATTTATCTGCATGCAAAAGGAACAATGTTGAAAGTGTGGGAATTTTTCTACATGACAGCACTAATTTAGTGCTAAATATCATGAGGTCTGGGTTGTATCTTCATCCCTGTTGAAGGAATTCGGTTGCTTTGTATTAGGCTGAGGTGTTGATTTTTGCCATTCATTTTGGTTGCTATCCATGATCTCAAAGAACATTGTGGCAATTGAAGTTGCCAGTGACTGCCCAGTACTTGTCAGAGCTAATGTTAGCGGATCAACAAGAGCAAAATTTTTGCCTGCTGGTTAAACATGATTGTGCTTCTGGCTAAATAAGTTGACAGGATCTCAATGATGTCATTGTCAATGATGATACCAGACTTGATAAGTATGGTGCTTCTTTATTATTTGTATGGTCTTTCAATGGTTAGCTCTATTTCTGGCATGCGGGGTTGGTGCCTGCTAGCTCCCCAATGTACATCTTACAGGCATACAATATAACAGTCAGATTCAGTGAGCAGGTTGTGATTAAGTCACACTTTGCTACTGTAAGCCTTTAACATTTACAGACATGACTGCCAGTGCTGGCACACCAGTGATTTAATGCCTATGCTATTAATGCTTTACAAGTGGATGGCTGAATAATTTGGAAGTAGTTTGAAATTTCAAGTGTCTTTATATTAATATAAAGTAAGATACCAAAACCACTTAAGTCTATTATAATATATATTTTAAGAAATTTGGCATTCCTATAATAAAAAAGAAATATTTGTTTCCCACAGGGTTAACCAGCATAAATGTCACCAGTTCAAAAATGAGATGCTCACTATCGTCTTCTCAAAAGCCATATTTGGACCTTGATCCTGTGAACATATTACCAAGTACAGTGCTTCTGGCTGAATAAACTCAGTGGAAATAAAGTAAAATAGTAATAAAAGTGCTCATGATTTTAAATGCTAGTCAGCAGTGTGTTTGCAAGATTATGTTTCCTTCCTCTCTCTGCCTTCACTGTTGCTTTATAATCCATTTCATATATGAGTTTGGCCTAGCACACAGAGCCTTGGAGTGATTCTCAAGCAACCTGAGTACTATTCTCAACAAAGCCAGTAGCCTGCTGAGTAAGCCTAAGTTATTTTGCCTCTACATGAATCAGTTTACACTTCTACAAAATGACGATAATAAGGTCGAAAATCTTCATGAAGTGTTTCTTATTATTTCATATGTTCCTGCTCAATTGTGTAATTATATACCTTTTGGCCTAAATACTTGAGGTTTCACTAAGACTGAGTGATAATTTAGTAATAATTTAATACTGAGTAAGTGATAATTTGTTTTTATTATCAACAGCTCAAGTAATACATTTATACATGTATATAGCAAATCTTTTAATTGAAGCAGGTGAAATTATTTGTTCATCATCGGTACAGGACAGATGTTTAAAGTGGAGGAAAAGGGCCCTTTTCCATTTCTTCTATTCTCCCTTGTTTTTTTATTGAGGAAAGATCTATACAAAGAGTTGAGAGGAAAGAAGCATAGTGTGTGTGAAAGGGTTGGCTCCAAAACAGATTTACATTGTTTCCACCCCCCACCCTGGTTAAATATGTATGAAAAAGTTATTTTATTGGAAAAAGATTAAAAGTATCCCAATCCTAAAGATTCAAAATCTTGTCTCCAATAATCTTGAGAACTTTTTTGAGAGCTAGCAAATATGTTTTTTTATTTGCTTTCTGATTTTTCTTTTTTAACCTTTAGGTTTCTCCACGACCACAAGATCTATAAATATATTTAAAGGAATGCTAAATTCTGCTAAACGGTATGACTCCAGGAGTTTGGGTTGAAAGGAAAATAGGAAAATATCACAAGAATTGGCAATACTGAGATATTCACACTGAGACAGTAAGTAACCATGTCTCTTAGACTGTACTGTAGCTGTTAACAATCACCTGCTGTCAACAGTTATAAATGATTCATCTAAAATGTGAAGCATTAGGAAAAAAACCCCACATGTTAAAGTTAAAAGCTTCTAAACTTTATAAGGGCAGAAGAAAATGAACTCACCATTATTCACCAGGACATGGAGTGGACAATTCTTTACTCCAAACTGTTGTACAAATTGCTGTATGGACTTCATAGAAGCCAAATCACAGTGTATAAACTCCACTGAAAAAAAACAGGAGAAAAAAAAATCTAGTGAAGTCAGTTACATTAAAATAATTTACCCAGTATGACCCAAAATCTTCAATTATCTTTTACTGACAAAAGGATTGTTAACAAGTTGGACCATCCTTTTTAAGTTCACTTTGATATATACAGGTTTCCCTTGCTTTATGCTGTACATGCACTCCTGGAAAACGGCACATAACTCAAATTTGCATAAAAGGAACCCACTTTACAATGTAACAAATAAGGATATGTTCCAAGACCTCAACTGTACTGATCCCCAGACCCATTTCTAACACTTTTACAAGACAATTTTGGTACTTACCAACAACAGACAGTACACGCAAGCACAGGGCATAATGGGGCTGGCAACTACAGAAATACGTCACAGACAGAGCGAGAAGCACAGATCCACACAGGAGACCATGTTTTGGTGTGCGTCACTCCCACAGTGCACCACACAAAGCAGCTGACTGCGGGCTTCTATCACACTGATTGCATAAGAGTGAATTTACCTCTGATATAATTAATTTTTGGTATAAAAAGGGTCATCACATAACAGCGAATTCACTCATACAGAACCCACATAAAGTGAGAGAAACCTGTAAAGATTCTTCAATCTGGAAGGGTTTTTTTTTTCTTTTCTCTTCTTCCTCCTCTAACTTTTCATTGCTGTTGTTGCTATCTCTCTTCATAAATAATAGGAATGACAAGTATAGTCTTTCATGGACTTGCTAATTTATCTGTTGAAGGTCTTAGATCAGGTTTGAGATCTCATAGAAAATATGAATTGAACAACTGTTGAATCTTCAGCAAAACCATCTGCTATCCAACATATTAGTCAGACATAGAAGCTAACTCTTACAAAATTAACAAACAATGAAAACCTCAATAACACCCCCCCAAGAGTCTTAAAATGGTTTAATTAAAACAAACTCCACCTCCAACTATTCAAATTCCAGGTTGAATTCTCTTGAACGTTGTATGGAAAACAAGGTAAGGGTTTGCATTGTGAAAAACACACACTCATAACCCTCTACACCAACATTTATATAATCAGTTGCTAAAACATGAACATTTCAGATATACAATGAGGTATAGAATCATAGAAAAGTAGAGTTAAAAGGGACCTCATGAGGTCATCTAGTCAAATCCACCTGTTCGAGGCAGGATCATCCCCAACTAAACCATCCCAGCTAAGTGTCTAACTTGCTCTTCAAAGTTTCCAGGGGTGGAGATTCCACAACTTCTCTAGTAGCCTGTTCCAATGCTTGACCACCCTCATAGTCAGAAAGTTCCTCCTAATCTCCAAATTAAATTTCCAATTGCTCCTAATCCTGTCCCTTATGACCACAGAAAAAAGCCCATGTCCATCCTCTCAGTAACTGCCCTTCAGCTTTTGAAGACTTATCAAATCTCCCCCCAGTCTTCTTTTGCAGGCTAAATAACCCTAGTTCAGCCTTTCCTCATAATTTTGTTTTCCAGGCCCTGATCGTTTTTGTCACTCTGTGCTGGACTCTTCCAATTTGTCGACATCCTTCTTGAAGTGTGGGGCCCAAAACAGGACACAGAACTGCAAGTAATGCCTCACCAGTGCTGAATAGAATGAAAGAATCAATTCCCTTGATTAGCAACTGGCACTCCCGGTAATATAACCCAGGATGCTGCTGGCTTACTTTTGAACAAGAATACACGGTTGACTCATAATCAGCTTATGGTCTACTGGAACCCTCAAGTCTTCTCTGCAGTAGCGCAGCCTAACCAATCATTCTCCAGTTTGGATTTGTGCATGCAATTATTCCATCCCAAATGCAGGACTTTGAACTTGTCCTTGCTGAATCTCATCTGATTGATTGCATAAAATTTCTTCAGTCTACTCAGGTGATTCTGGATCCTAGCCCCACTCTCTAGAGTACCTATAATTTCACCTAACCTGGTGTCATCTACAAATTTGCTAAGGGTACACTCAACCCCATTATCCAAACCATTAACGAAGATATTGAACAATGCTGGAACCAGGACAGACCCCAGGAGAATCCCACCTGATACCTCCTCCCAACTAAATATCGAGTCATTTATGAGTACCTGTTGAGCACAATGATCCAAACAGTTACATATCCACCTTGCAGTATTTTCATATAGTCTCTATTTCCTGAGCTTTTTAATGAGAATTTGGTGAGAAACAGTGTCTTGCTAAAACTCACTGCTCTCCCCTCATCCACAGAGCCCATCACCTTATCACAGAAGGAAATCAGGTTGTTCAGGAATGATTTGCTCTTGGTGAATCCATGCTGTTTGTTCCTCATTCACAATGGATTCCTTGAGGACCTGTTCTCCATGATGTTTCCAGGAATCAAGGTCAGGCTGACTGGCTTGTAGATCCCCAAATCCTATTTCTTTTCTTGCTTAAAGGTAGGCACTATATTTGCCCCTTTCCAGTCATTTGGGACCTTGCCCACCTTCTATGAGTTTCCCAAGAGCATAGCCAATGGCTCTGAAATTACTCTAGGTTACACTCAGCCATTTTCCCCCACCTCAATCATTGACGGATGTCCACATGGCCCCAGTTCGCCTACGGTTAGTTCTGAAATAGTTAAGGAGCTCCTGGAGGAGCTGGATGGGTACAAGTCAGCAGGCCCGGATGACCTCCATCCACGGGTGCTGAAGGAATTGGCCAGTGTCATAGCTGAGCCACTGGCACAGCTGTTCGAGCACTCGTGGTGCTCTAGCTGGGTCCCTGAGGACTGGAGAAGGGCCAATGTGGTGCCCATTTTCAAGAAAGGGAGAAGGGATGAGCCGGGTAACTTTAGGCCAGTCAGTCTTACCTCTACTCCTGGGAAAATACTAGAGAAAATAATCAAATAACACATTTGTGCAGGCCCAGCAGGGGAAACGATGCTGAGGGGAAACCAGC